CACAACCACCGCGCGGAAGAGGTCCCCAGGAGCAAACTGGCGCTTTGCCCGGAGTTGAGTCAGGAGCTGCCCCGCCCCCTTCCTGGCGGAGATGCGACCATGCGGGCGGGGCGGTCACTCCGGGTTCGTCTCTGGTTGGCCCAAGCAAGGGCGCTGAACGCCAGGCGGAAGGGAGCGGGGTCTTATCGAGGAGGAAGAGGAAGCACTGCTCACGCGCGTCGCTGGGGCTGCGCGTGGGGTCGCCGCTCGGAGCCCGGCCCGGGCTGTGTCACCCAGGTACAGAGCCAGGCCTGTGCGCGGCAGCCGGGCCCGTGCTCGGGCGGAGCGCAGCAGCAAGTCCGCAATGGGGAGTGGGACGGAGCGGGATGCAGGGGTGGCGGGAGCGGGAAGGGGAGGCTGCCTCAGGTGGCGGTTCCTTTCCCGCTCTGAGCGCTCGGGAATGCAGCCATCTCCGGGGAAACTTGGGAAACTGGCAAGGGACGTTATGCTAAAGCCCTGCTCTGATGGAAACTGTCATTGGCTCTTTAGAGAGATCGAATGGTTAAAACAATATTACAGAAAGACTAATTCGTGTCTAACAACGCCCTAAAACCTAAAAAAACCAAAATCTAGTAGCTTTCTTACAATTTTACTTACTTAGCAATGGAGACTGGTCCTCTGTGGCTCACAGGCAAGCGTCTTACGTGCTAAACACCAATTAGCAAATAGCTTTTATTCTGCAAACGCTGCCAGACCTAGCACTTCCCCCTGGGAGTAGTTCTGTAGAATTCCATGGGAGTAGATCTGGGAGCAATCCTGCTTAACTGTTGCTCTCCTCCTCATTTACCCCTGTCCAAAGGGAATGCAAAATGCTGCCAAATCAGAAGGAGAGAATTTTGCACACCCATTGCACAAGTGTAAACAAATATAGGACCGTGTATAGTTGTGGATAAGGGTTTTTGTGTCCTTTATTAGATTATCATGCAAAAAGAACAGGAGTACTTGTGGCACCTTAGAGACTAACAAATTTATTAGAGCATAAGCTTTTGTGGGCTACAACCCACTTCTTCGGATGCATATAGAGTGAAACATATATTGAGGAGATATATATACACACATACAGAGAGCATGAACAGGTGGGAGTTGTCTTACCAACTCTGAGAGGCCAATTGCCACGAAAGCTTATGCTCTAATAAATTTGTTAGTCTCTAAGGTGCCACAAGTACTCCTGTTCTTTTTGCGGATACAGACTAACACGGCTGCTACTCTGAAACCTGTAGATTATCATGCACGACTAGAGTGTTTCTCTAGGTGCAGAGAAGTGTACCTTTAGACATAGCTGTAACATGGCCTTTATGGGAAAGGTATCTGTACCTTCGGACTGAGAGGGCCAGATTCTTTGCTGTTGTAAATGAGTACACCTTTGCTGAGGTCTCCTAACTCATTTTTTTTTCATTATGAACAGTTAGACTGACTTTCAAAAGTGTTAAGACTAATGTTATAAAATAGGAGGAAAGGGGACTGATTCAAAGACCTGCTTGAAGATTTACACAGAGTAATATATTTGTATTATTTGTTATTGTGTTTTTATAGTAGCAACCGGTTTTGGGCGAGGTGCTTTCCAAACACGAAAAAAAGGAATGGTCCTTTTTCCAAGGAACTCTCAGTCTAAGAACAGATTGACAGGCAGACAAATAGGCAGAAGATTGGGGAAATGTGAATGACATACTATTCTTTCATTTTAGTTAATGTGCATGCCAAGTAGATTCCTTACTAACTTTGCAGGGGGGCAACAAAAATACTTCTCTGAAACTTCCTTTTGATTACGTGCTAGTTTGTTAACTCAAAGCAGAGTCAGTGTAACTATGCAAATTAATTTGGTTGAATATGGATGGTAGTAAGAGGCAAAAAGGAATCCTTTAAAAAGTGGAAGTTAAATCCTAGTGAGGAAAATAGAAAGGAGCATAAACTGGCAAATTAAGTGTAAAAATATAATTAGGAAGACCAAAAAAGAATTGGAAGAACAGCTAGCCAAAGACTCAAAAAGTAATAGCAAAAAAAAAAAAAAATAAGTACATCAGAAGCAGGAAGCCTGCTAAACAACCAGTTGGGCCACTGTACAACTGAGATGTTAAAGGAGCACTAAGGGACGATAAAGCCATTGCGGAGAAACTAAATGAATTCTTTGCTGGGGATGTGAAGGAGATTTCCCAAACCTGAGCCTTTCTTTTTAAGTGACAAATCTGATGAAAGTGTCCCAGATTGAGGTGTCATTAGAGAAGGTTTTGGAACAAATTGATAAACTAAACAGTAATAAGTCACCAGCACCAGATGGTATTCACCCAAGAGTTCTGAAGGAACTCAAATGTGAAATTGCAGAACTACTAACTGTAGTCTGTAACCTATCATTTAAATCAGCTTCTGTACCAAATGACTGGAGCAGGGGTCGACAACCTCTGGCACACGGCTCGCCAGGGTAAGCACCCTGGCGGGCCGGGCCAGTTTGTTTACCTGCCGCATCCGCAGGTTTGGCCGATCGCAGCTGCCACTGGCTGCGGTTCGCCACTCCAGGCCAATGGGGGCTGCGGGAAGCGGCGCAGGCCGAGGGATGTCCCATTGGCCTGGAGCGGCGAACCGCGGCCAGTGGGAGCTGCGATCGGCCGAACCTGCTGACGCGGCAGGTAAACAAACTGGCCCGGCCCGCCAGGGTGCTTACCTTCGAGAGTCACGTGCCAAAGGTTGCCGATCCCTGGACTGGAGGATAGCTAATGTGATGCCAATTTTTAAAAAGGGCTCCAGAGATGATCCCAGCAATTACAGGCCGGTAAGCCCGACTTCAGTACCAGGCAAACTGGTTGAAAGTATAGTAAAGAACAAAATTGTCAGACACATAGATTAACATAATCTGTTGGGGAAGAGTCAACGTGGTTTTTGTAAAAGGAAATCATGCCTCACCAAATCTACTAGAATTCTTTGGGGGGGGGGGG